TCCATTGGTATTTTAGAATATGTATAAAATTTATAAAAAAATCCAAAATATTTAAATAAAGTTTTAGATAAGTATAATGTTTTATCATTGGCACTCTTTAAGAAAATATTTTAAATTCTTAAAAAAATTATATTAGAAATTTAACTCTTGAGAATTTTAAGATATCAGAGCTTTGCTACAACAACTCTTAGAAGAGCAAAAAAATATTTAGAGTTGTAAATCTTTGGCACCAAGAATATATTGTTAAAAATGTGGTATTAATAGCAAAGAAATTGAGTAACAACAATAAGACCAAGAAAAAATAATAAGGTACAATGGAACACAATTAAGTACAAGTGTTTAGAGGATTGAGTTATAAACATCATTTAATATTTATAGACTTTATCTTTCTTGACTCTCAGATTTTTTCAGTGCTAATATCGACCTGTTGTTCTTTTATTTGTTTTGACTCTTTATTTTCCCTCTTTTGATCTTACCTTGGTTGATCCATTTGCAAGCTGTTCCTTGAAGTACAAAAATTACATTTCTTTTATTTGTATTATTTGAATTCTTTTCTTTCTATAATTTGTATTATTTTTAGTATTTTGTAGTATGTCAATTTTCTTAAATTCATGAGCAAAGAAGTATTTATTTAGATTTAGAGGAGTTTTTGTAAAGAAGAAAAAAATAAATAATGATTGGCATAAATAATGCTAAATTTGGTATTCAATTGAGAAAGGTGCAAAGATTTGAATTTGGAATCCTTAAAATTTTGTTTTCTTGGTTGAATTGTAGTGATTGACATTTGAATGGCATTCCATCCAAGCTCAAGTCAAAAGATATGGCTTGAACTTGCTTTATTGAGGTGTTTGGAATAATAAGAAGGATGTATTAAATAATGGAATTGTACAATAAGAAACATAATAGTATGATCCAAAGTATTGTCTCAAGAACATTCTCAAATAAGTTAAGAATACTTAGAAAATAAATAGACCATTTGAGTACACACCAAGGTTTGATTTGTAGTCAAGTTACTACTTAAGCTCACTACATAGACTTGTTGAAGAATGGAGAATTAGACAAATATACAATAATACTTAGATTTCTATAGAAAAATATTTTGTTTACTTTATAAAATATAAAATAAGAGTGTACAAGGACATCATGCCTCTAAAGCCAAGGTTCTTTCTTTAAATAATTATTAGATTAATCCTAACTAAAAAATCAAATCTATAAATATATTTACATAATATTTCTAAATATGTAATTAAATCATTAATTTTTTTTCAAATCAATAGTAGTCAATTTCGACATTTTCCAAAGATTGTCACACTTTCACGCATCTTAGAAACTCCCTTCTATGTCCTCCTAAACCTTTCCTATTCTATGCCATATTGGGCTTTTATTAGACATGGTACACCAGACTCACCATTGAAACTTTCCACTAGATTATCTTTAGAAGGCTATACTAAACTATACTAAATTTTATTATATTAGATTATACTATATCAAATTCTAATTTTAGATGTCTTTTTTGGATTAAAGATTACCTTCCTCTTCATTCTTTATAATTATTATTCCACCCTGATAAGAGGCCACTAGAGAAAGCATATTGCAACCATTGATTTTTCTCCTTGGTCCATCTAAAAAACAACTTCACAAACAAAATTTACAAACAACAATAAATACTGCTAAATCATGCCACATGAGAAGTACACATCTATTAAGATGCATTGTTCTTGACAAAGTTACACCTCAAAGTGAATGTTACTTGATGAAGATTGTGTAGATAGACCTTAAATGCTCTAAGATGCTCATCATGCGATGAACTATACTTGTTGACATGCTTGAAAGACTAACTTTTAAGAATGCAAGCAATGCTTTGCTTGTTGAAATTAATAAAGCTGATGTTATTGAAACACAACAAGGTTGAAGGTTCAAATAAGGTTTTTGAAACCATCCTATTTCAAAAAATGTGAAATTTGAATGAATTATCAAATTCATCAAATTATTGTAATTTGATGGTTTACTAAATAATATTTTCAGTTACGTTAAACAACTTTTGAATTGACTTCTATAACATGAAAAGATAATGAGACAGACAGGCACACACAAAAAGGATAATATTGCTTTAGAATAAAATATTTATCAAAAAACTAAAAATACATATATATATATATATATATAATGTAGGAGAATTATTTTTAGACAATAAAAAATTAATATATGTTTGGTACTACATCCTTACTACTTATCAGGAATGTCTTTTATTTTATTTTTCATTTTTAAACTGTTGACAATTGTTTTTGTTACTTCAAACAAAAACTGAAATGACTACTTTGAAGAAAGTCTACTCTGATAACATGTTAAATGGCAAAACCTGCTAAAAGCCGCTCAAATAGAAGTTACACATTTACATGGTACAAATACTTTGACATAATACAAGTTGAATAGAATCACATTTTCTGTGAATTTGACTCTGTCTGAACTTTAAGATGTGAATATTTATTACCTCTTATAATCTAATAGACATCCATGTAATATTCATAGTATTCCATGTATATTATTTATTATTATTACTATTTTTTTCCTGCTCTTCTAATTTAATTTATAATTGCGAACAATAAATTAAGAAGGCATAGTGCTAAAATATAAAAGAAAATATATTATTTTCAAATTCTATTACTTTTAAACTCCAAGTCATTTGACATTCAAATTCTTTTCATTATAATAATCTAAAGTTGTTTAGAAAATGGCACGCCTCAATCCATAGCAATTAAGCACAATAGGTCTTACTTGTAATTCTTATGCAGGTTTACTAAAAATAGATTTGTGCTGGTAACTGCTAAATTGTTTATGTTAATCACTTGTGAGATCTTACGTTAATCTCTTTTTCTTGTATTGATAATCATATACAGATGAAGATTCCAACGATTCTCCAAAATTTAGAGATTTTAAATTGATCTTAACCACATTGTAGATTTTATTCTAGATATTTAAAGCTATCATGTTCCCAACTTCAATTTCCAAATTATAGCTAATGTAAAAGCTGACCCAGATCAAACACATTAAATTGATTACAATATATATATATATATATATATATATATAATTGTCTTGTCTGTGTACTATTACATGGTCTTTAAATTATAAAGTGAAAGATTATGAAATCTTATTCAAAACACATCTTGCACCATTACCTTATTTTCAGAAACTTATTACATTGTGGAAACTTATTCCAACATCATAACAGAAAGATCATCCATTAGTCTCTCAAGTCAATAAACATATAAGTCTTATTTAGGAAATAAACAACTATCGCTGAGTGATGCTGTTGATGAAGCTAGTCCCAAAAAACCATGCAGCAAACAAGCATTCATTTATTAAAGTAACCATATAATCACAAATAGTTCCTAAATTATTTTCGAAGAGAAAAGAAAAAGAGAAAAAGAAAAGAACAGAAGGGGGGGGGATAAAGAGGAAGGGGAGGGAAAAGTAATTTCGCACCATCTTCTAACTTTGTACTTTTTAATAATCTTTTTCCCCCACTTGCACTTTCTTTCATTGAAACCCTAATCCCCACATCCAGTAGACACGAAACAAACCCTAATATCCCCCCCCCTCATTAGAATGGAAACCCTAATATTGGATCTAGAAGATTCTATTGCCAGTGCCATTGGCCCATGATGCCATAGTGCCCTTTGAAGTCAAACCCAAATTAGTAGAGTCGGAACTTACTAGAAGGGTGGTTCCCCAACGTTCCCATGGAGGGGGACTGTTAGGCAGCACGCCCTCATGACTGGCCTTTGACCAGAACCCACGACCACGTGCGTTGACTCTTTCGATTCTCCTCTTTCGCCCCCCATTTGCTGGCTCCAACACATAACTACCTGCCTCACCCCTGCACGAAAGTATCTCATTCGTCGTGCTCCAATATGGATGTCATTCGTTTCAATAACGGAATTCGTCTTACTTGTGTTCTCCTTCCAAAGGAAATCCCATCCGTTATGGATGCTGGATGAATAATCCTTTGATGAACTTTCGTTGCTCATCACGAATTACAACTCTTTTATCAAGGTTTCCTCACCCCTTCATGTTTTATTTTTATTTTATTTCAAAACTACCCATTTTATTTGTGGTATTATTATTTGCATTATTGTTCAATCATGTACGCGAAGTTTTTTTTTTTTAATTTGTGGGTTCTATTTTCGCCTCCTCCCTCTATCATTCCACATGTCTATCAGTCAACGGGGACAATCATAGTGGAAACAGGGAGCTGGTTGGACACTAAAGGACCTTCCAGAAACCGACATGAGAATGAGGGGAGAAGGATGGGTATATTATACCATGCGCAACGAACATACTTATATACGATAAATAGAAATACATATATATTCCAAATAGCGGGTTCTCGCTGTGTCTCCTCCCATCCTCCAAAAGCCCCCCCCCCTTCCCACGGGCTTTAGTGGTTTGCCAGCTCATTTATATGTGGGCCCAACGAATCGCGTTCTTCCCTACCAACTTTACTCCACGTGTCTTCATTTTGACTTTAGTTTTTTAATTCATCTGATTGTGAAATATCTATCAATTCAACAAGTAATGTTAGGTTTTGGCAATTTCTCCATCAATCAATCCAAAGATATGAACTTTCCTTTACACCCCTCTGTTTTTTTAATTTTTCATTGGGGTTCCTTGAGAATCTTGGTACAATAAACCAACGATACAAACCACTTACGATTTCAAAGATTAATCGAACTACTCTTCCCAGAGCTGAGAAGCATTAATAGTTAAGCTGTCTGTCTTAGTTAAATTAGGGTATACTCAGGGGACGCTGGGCGGTGACAAGTTTATTCGAATAAAGGAGGGTTACGTGGATGCGAGAAAGGGTCCACTCGAACTCCAGGTGGGCTGCCAACTCGACAATGACGATTGAACGAACGAACCAATGAACGAACGAAAAAGAGTCTGTCTCCGTCCAAGTGACGAATCATCGCTGGCTCCAGGCCTTGGGGAGGGGGCTTAGCAGTCCTCGATTGTGAGTGAGTGAGTGTGTGTGTGAGTGTGAGAGTGTTGAGTTGTGTTGTCGCCGCTGAGTCTGGTTGTGTTGCTCACGCGCTGCAGAGTCCGGGTTAGCGAGAGAGAGAGAGAGAGCGAGAGAGCTGGAAGCGAGAGAGAGAAGGCTCAGATCCTTGGCAATGTAAGCGAGGCTGACATGGCGGATGTGTTTCAAGCGAGGTTCCACAAACATAACTCAAATCCGGAGGGGGAGAATTTGGTGCAAGAAGCACTGGGAAAGTTCAGTTTAAGCCGCGGAGATTAAGTTCAGTTGTTGCGGGTGTCGAGGGTGTCGAGGGTGTCGAGGGTAATGGTGTTTGGTTCGGTCGATCGTCTGTGGATTAGGAAGGAAGAGATACTGGCGATCTGTGAAGGTGAATGGTTCGGGTTGTGAATTGTGTTAAGCAGGGGAGGGTGTTGTTGTTGTTGTTGTGGTGTGTTTGAGAGAGCGAGAGAGAGGCAGAAATGGGACAATCGAAGGTATTGGTAGGTGTGTACATTGCTTGCGCAGCTGCGGCATGCGCAACCGCAGCTGTGGCGGTGACGCAGCGACTGAAAGTGCGAGCGCAGAAGTGCACTGCGCGGAAAATTTTGGTGGAGTTTCAGGAGGCTTGCGAGACGCCTCTGCCGCGGTTGCGGCAAGTTGTGGATGCTATGGCCGTCGAGATGCACGCTGGCCTCGTGTCGGAAGGCGGAAGCAAGCTTAAGATGCTGCCCACCTTCATTGATCGCTTGCCGAATGGGTAACTTGCTCGTGCTGTGCTTGTGTTTTTATTGTTGTAAAACTTCTTCCATTTCTGGCTCCATTACTAAATTATAGCTTCTTCTCTTCTTCACGTTTTGTTCGTCTGGAAGAAAACATTGGATGTGGTTCAAGTTCTGCAGTTTAGTGCTCTGAGATCTGCTCTTTCTGAGGAGGATGGTTTGAAGTTTAGTCTTTTAGGGTGGATAGACTGTGGGCCTATGTGGTTGTGATCGATGTTGGGGATCAGAGAGGGCGTGACCATCCTGCGTCAGATAGACAATGCAGGAGGTGTGCCGCCCTATTGCACGGGTTTCAAATTCTTAGAAAGAACATAATCGGAGTTTCTCAATTCTCCTTTGCATTTTATTTTTAATGTAGTCTCTGCATGCGGAGGGCGCTACTAGAGGCGTGCTCTAGTCAGTTACCATAGCCGCCTAGTTAACTTCTGATTTCAGATGGTGATGTCCAAATTTCAAGGCCCATTTTCAACGCAAAGTCCTAAGCCAAGCCCTTACGTGCTCGATTATGGGCTGGAAATATGAAGTCGACAACAAAATGGTTTTGAAATATTCGGAACTTTTGAATGTCAAGAATGAGTCTGGGACTTTGTTTCGAGTTAAGGGGTTATTTGTTACTTTTTAATTTTCTTTTGGGATACAGAAGTCTAATTCTTTGGTACTGAATCTAAGCCTCAATCAGATTTTTTGAATGAAAGAAATCTGTTATTCAGGAGTAATGTTCGGACTTAGTGTGAAGTAAATCCACCTATTCGCTAATCAGATTTTTAGATTTTTAGGGTAATTCAAGTATGTGCGCTCCAAGAACAGAGTGTTTCTACGTGATTCAGTAATTAGGTTTGGGAAGTATCAAATGCATCTGACCATTTTGACCATTTAGACTTTCAGATATATGAAATGAGTAACAATGACTGGATCTGTGTGTGAACTGCGGTAAGGGGGCAGGGAGCTAGTGTGAAGTTTTTTACGCCGATTCGATTTCTAGATCTTTAAAGCGAGAAGGATTAGTGAGGTTTTAGGATGTAGAATTTTCAATCATATTTCTTGAATGACTCGGGACTCGGAACATATGAGAATAGTTTGGTTTTGTAGCTTGGTGCCAGATGTATGAGCGGCGGAGTCTAGTCTTTTTCATCCAAAATTCCTCAACTAAGAATATTTGTGGAAATATCTGGTTCGATTGTTTTTTGAGAGTAATTCACAATCTGTTTCAAAGTGTGGTTATTGTTTGCTTGTCTTAGGCTCCAGATTTTTGTCGATTTCTAACACCTGAGTTATTTCTTACCATTGTTCTGTTTTACACTCTGTTGCAGTCCTTTGTACTTCAAACTAATATACCCTGTTTTTTTCTTTTCTTTTCTTTTCTTCTGCTTCTTCTTCTTCTTCACTTGGTTTACGATGTTGTAACAATGTGAGTTCATTTGGGGTTGAACAGGAGCGAGAAGGGCCTTTATTATGCTGTGGACTTGGGTGGGACAAACTTCCGGGTGCTCCGTGTCCAGTTGGGTGGATTAGAAGGTAGAGTAATCAAGCAAGAGTACGAGGAAGTTGCCATTCCCCCTGAGCTAATGCTTGGAACAAGCGAACAACTATTTCATTTTATTGCCAAGGAGTTGGCTGGCTTTGTGGCAAGAGAAGGTGAGGAATTCAGGTTAGGCGACGGTCAGTCACGGGAAATAGGGTTCACCTTTTCCTTCCCCTGTAAGCAAACCGCTGTAAATTCTGGGACTCTCTTGCAATGGACCAAGGGCTTCAAAGTGAACGATGCAGTACGTCTTTTTTTTATTTAAAATCTTGTCTCCTTTACTGGATGCATTGTTCAAATTTTCCAATGTAATTAGTATGGATTTCTTTCTTAAGAAGATGTTGAATGAGTGATGAAAGCGGAGTGGTGTTAAAACCTGCTTTTGGTTTTTAGGTGATTTTTCTGAGAGTTTCTGTAGCTGCAAGTCTTTTCTCGTTGTAGACTCTGAACTAGTTGGGTGAGTGTGTTTCTTTTTCTGAGTATACAAATTTTAGTTCCTGATATTACCCTGATATCAATGTAAACCAAAATACTTTTTCTTCGTATTTGCAGATCGGCCAAGATGTGGTCGCAGCTCTTCAAAAGTGCATTGAACGACTAGGGTGCAAGATGAGGATCGCTGCTTTGGTAACGACACTCTCCTGGAACTTTCATTATTGTCAATTTACGCATGCAATTGCAATTATTTTTGGCTCAAGGCTATGTAGGGTCTGAGTGGAGACGGAGGCCTTTTTCTAGTTGATTTGTCTAGGAATACAACAATTAGGGCTCGTGTAGCAATTGGTGTTAATTTATGTATATTTGCAGTTGCACTTTTGATTTGTAAAACGAGCATTCGGAAGCCTCATTACTTAAGTTGTTCTGCTCAACCTACTTTCATGTTGGATGCATTATGCAGGTTAACGATACAGTGGGTACTCTAGCTGGTGGTCGCTATTGGAATAACGACGTGATGATAGCTGTTATTTTGGGTACTGGTACCAATGCCTGCTACGTTGAGCGGGCTGAATCTATATCGAAGTGGACTGGCGAGCTTCCGAAGTCTGGCCAGATGGTTAGCATCATTTTTGGTCCAACATCTGGCTTCAGTTTGTCGAGTTTTGATTATTTGATTATAGTTTATTGTAGATATCAAAAAGCACCGCTAGTCCTGACTTATGATTTCTAAAGCAACAAACATGGATTTTTCTAGCGACTGCTCTCGTGTAGGATATGACTTGGAATTTCGGGTGGGTTTGAATATTGACCACGTACCCTTACATAACAAGTGATATATGGTTCCTGACCTTGGCAGGTGATCAATATGGAGTGGGGAAACTTTTGGTCATCACATTTGCCTCGGACCTATGTGGATGAGTTATTGGATAGCGAGAGCCTCCATCCAGGAGAATATGTAAAAACATCTAAACCATGATCTATTCTGCTGTTACTATTTTCATTGTCTGCCTTGGGACAGCGCTTAATGATGTGGCTTTTGATTGCAGGGTTTTGAAAAGATGATTTCTGGAATGTATTTGGGTGATTGTGTGAGGCGAGTGCTTGTCAGGATGGCACAAGAAGCTGGCATCTTCGGTCCCCATGTTCCTCACACACTCTTGGAATCCTTCTCGCTCCAGTACGTAAATTTCCGGTTTTACGAGATGTGTGTTCAATTTTTTTAGTACTTGTCCTTAGCAACATAGAATGGACTTATTTTATTCAATGTTAAGTACTTTGAGAAGAACTAGGAGATCCGGGATTTAGTTGTTGTCATTTTACGTTGAAAAAACATTTCAAGTTTTTTTCTGGGCTTAGAAATATCCCTCTGTTTGCTGAACCTCAATAGAGAAACGTGTCTTTCCTTTGCAGGACACCAGAAATGTCAAGAATGCACCATGATGACAGTAGCGACCTAAAAGTAGTTGCAGAAGTTCTGAAAAGACTATATGGAGTACGTGCTTTAATTCCTACCATCCTTTGAATCATTGTTGTTTTTTAAACTTCCCAGAGCTTGCTACTCAATGCTATGTGATTGCGTTCGTTGGTCGTTGATTTAGTATTCGTTTCATTGCAGATCCAGAACACAACAGTAGGGATTCGCAAAATCGTAGTTGCTGTTTGCGACACTACGTGCCAGCGAGGGGCCAGGCTGGCAGCTGCTGGTATTGTGGGAATACTAAAGAAAATTGGGAGAGATGGAAGTACAGCAAATGGCTTGATGAGGCGAAATGATACGAATGGTATCCATGACGAGCTCTCTGTGAATTCTACACCGGGAAGTGGTAAGACCGTTGTGGCTATGGACGGTGGCTTGTATGAGCACTACAGCAAGTTCCGAAATTACATGCAAGAAGCTGTGCGTGAGCTTCTAGGGGACGCATCCAAAAACGTCTCTATAGAGCTCTCCAAGGATGGCTCAGGCATTGGGGCAGCCCTTCTAGCTGCATCATATGCCGAGTATGTGCCCTCCTAATACCTCTTGAACTATTGATTAAAATTCCAGTAGGTCAAATTGTTAGGACTGTGCTTTACCAATGCTTCTATGAGGTATGAGTCTGTTTCTTTTGGAACATTGGGTTATCTGGCTCGTCTTGTCTTGTATAAAGCCTCGTAGTTCAATCATCAGATAATTGTTCTCCTTGTCAGCTCATAGACTGGAGAGTGACTTAGGGTAGTGGCTTTCTAGGTAGCAGTCAAAGTATTATTTGAATACTTTGAAAAGTATCAAACCCATTCCTTGTGTAGGACATTACCTTGATACTTCAGCCACAGTTTAAGAAGTCTGGTCTTTTTTTTAGTGTAGTAGACGAGGTTGTAGTTAATGGTTGTCAGCAGAAATGCCTTGCAGTCTTTTAGCAGTTGCTGGCTCTTTCTTGCAATTTATTGCTAAACAGCCTTTTGGGGTTATACTGTCCCTTCATCTCAATCAAAATCATTTTGGATTCGCTTTTCCGGACTTTTGGCTATTTTAGAAGCTCTGAGGTTTTACTATTTTAGCGTTTGTGATGGTTTCTTAATATTTTTACACACGCTAAAAATTTATTTATGTAAATGATTACAATTCCATTAATTTCTATTTTTGATATTGTGTATATGAAATATGTTAGTGTTAATATGAAATATGAAAATCCAAATGGCATCTTTACAGACATGAAAGTCATATTTTATAGGTTTTATTTTAAAAATTGCATAGAAATATTAGTTTCAGAACATTTTTACTCAATCGAACTATTTAAGTTTTATTTATTTATCTATGACAGCAGTAGTATTAAATAACTTTTAGTTGGTATTAATGTTGAATTTATTCAAATCATAGAAAGTAACTGTTTCATCAAATATTTTCGTTGTTTGTTTGTGTTTACAAGGCATATGAGTATTAGTTAGAGATTTTTTAAGGATTATTGTCTCTTAAGAAAATAGTTAAAATTTACCATATACTTAATTTCTTGGAATTTCAACTCTACCGCATGTATCGTAAGACTAAATATGTTTTTGTACGAACTTTTATATCTGTGACCACCACTTATCTTTAAATATCAATTTAGGTGTAAATTTTATAATGTTTTTTAATTTTTAATTTTTTTTAACTCTTAAAAAACAAATAAGTGATAATAAGGAAGGAAATGTCTATACAAAATCAGTTAGACTTATTTTTGTATATTACATATAACTTTGTTCACATAACAAAGTTATTGTATAGGCTACAGATCTAATTTTGTAATATATACAAAATAAATCTTCCTCAAATATTTCAACTTAATCTCACAACTACACTTTGTTCATGAGTTTTTGTTCCATTGTTCTTGCTCCATGATACTTGTTTTAATCACATTTCTTGGAGTCTTCTATTACTTATTACAATCTTTGGGCTTTATATTCACACACACACACATATATATATCCTAAAAGGAATGTTGTTGGAGATCCAGGGTGACAAAACTCTAAAGGAATCCCAAGCTGCAGAGTGGAGGACATCGATCCTTCATCTTGGATCTTCATTTTATCCTCTTTCTTACGGCACAACAATTGTTCTTGGTATTGTCCACGTCGGATTTTGTTCCACGCAGTCACATGCACTGTGCTGCCTGCAAAATTCCATCCAAGGAATGGAATCACAACAGACCGCACATTGTACATTTACTTTCATAGAGATGAAGCTTCTGAGTTGGTACCATCGACGTGGTGGCAACTCCTCTATTGTTGCTGGTTTACCAGTCCATGGAGATGAGAGGCAACAACAATGCATGGACCTGAAAACCAAGTGTTTCAACATGGGTCTTACGTAGTAGGAGCACAGTACCAACGAAGCCACGCCTGAAAACAACGTATCGTCGTTCGATCGAACGGAACCCACCTTGCCAGAGGCAGATTGTGTGAACTGCCGTAAGCATGCTTAATTCGCATGCCACTAGGCTGACATGAATGATTCAAAGGTTGCTGTCCCACCGTGACAATCAGCTCTAACTAGTGAGCAGATCAGTGTTTCGGTCTCTAGCTTGGGCCACATCACGAACAAGATTCAAGTAGGTTGCTCATCATGTTTGTACCTCATCGAGGCATCTGTCGTGTACGTGATTTGTGTGCAACTTGTTTTTTGGGTGTTTTGTAGGATTCGGCAATGGAAAGCTGGAGGAGGAGGAGGAGGAGGTAGAGGAGGTTAATGGGGTGCGTGAATCCGAACCCTGCAGGGTTGGGGTGTTAATACACGGTGCGCAATTTGTGCTTGAACGGGGAAGATTGTTGTTCTCTACAATCTGTGTACATTGAGGATGGTCCGAGTCTTATCCAAGTGTCCACCTGCCTGAAAGTCGCGTACCCTCCCTCTCGCATGTGTTGCAAGGACTGCTACTTGTGGGAGGAATTAGGTTACTCCTCATCATCACCTCCGATCATGAAAATCTGCTGAAATCGCTGGCAACGTGAGGGCTGTGGCGCTTGTGCATCAGAGTTGAGCCATACATTTCACTAGATTGATCCCCAGGCATGGGTGAAGGTGCGCAGCAGGCTGGCCAAGCGGGTCAGATTGAATCTGAACAGACTGCAGGCGGTGTTGGAAATGGCAGTGTTGTTTTCGAGTTGAGATAATGTCTAACTTGTTGTCTCAAGGAAGCTCATCACCATCATGTAAACCTCCTTGAACAACTAGCGAATTGGAAACCGTGGACATACCAGGATTCTGGTCATGGGCTTATTGAGAACGTAGTATAGTTTGTTATTTTTATTTTTATTTTTTTTGCTATCGTTTCATTTCTCAGATCTACCAATTTTTCGGATACAAGCGTTAGAAACCTTCCAGTGGATGTACCAAAATTGGATGTGCAATGGTGTTGACAGATTGAGATTCTGCACATTTGGTAGAGTTCGATCGCCTACTCCTCAGGTATGCCGACAGGAGAAGTGGAAGCCATCTTCACCTTCCTTTGAACATTTCACAAAGCCGAGGTCGACGGCTCGAGCACTTCCAAATCTCGACGCGGAGGTCGCCATAGTCACGTAACCATGGGAGCTGTTGATTCGAACGTGGATGCCAATGGCGCGCAAGGGAACATGAACAAGGTCGAAGCGGTGAATTCCGAAAGAGGAACTGTCACATCCGTATCAGATCGAAAGAACATTTTGTCTCGCTTCTCATTCCAGAAGAAACGGAAGCTGAAAAAGTATTGCATATGGTGCGGGATCCCGGTCCTCACGTTGGCGATCGTCATCCTGACTCTAACCCAGACGATCTTCAAGTTCCGAGATCCAGATATCACTCTTTCAGACGTGTGCTTCTCCGGCGTGACAATCGACTACTCTAGACCCCTCAGCCCTTCCTCTGTCAACGCTTCATTGTCAGCAAACATGAACGTGTACAACCCAAACCACTACAACTTCAAATTCATCAACAGCACCATTCACGTGGTCTACCATGACGTGATGGTGGGGAGAATTTCTATGCCAGGAGGCGAGCTCCGCGCTGGCAAATCCTGCGCTCTGCAGGCGCTCGTCACTGTTGGATCCCTGAAGCTAGGCAGCTCGATGGGCAACTTGTACCTCGACTTCGAGAAGAACCAGCTGCCATTCGCCATGAGCGTCAACATACCAGGCCGCGTCAATGTCGCCCACATCTTCAAGCACAACGTGGTGCTTGAATATCACTGCGACGTTGTCTTCTGGGTTGGAAACTCGACCCTAAAGGACTACCATTGCTGGAGGAAGGTCCACATGTGACTAACTAGTTACTCATTACCCAACAGCTACGATGAAAATGCACGATTCCATTCTAGATAGTGATTCTGTAAGTGGCTCATTCATGGCATGTTTGTCCATGATTAATATCACCGACTACGTCCAATAACTGAGTTACGGAGCGGGGACCTCGACATCGAAGCAATTTTCTCCAAAAACACTGTGATTTCGCTTAGCTGTACTCAAAAAATACATCAAAGAACTTAGCAATGGATCAATCGGAGCTTCAGAAGTTGAGTCATGTGTCGGATGTGGGAACTTGAATGGCCCAATTCTTCGGTGGCGAACTTCGACGTGGAACTTCCAGTATCCTTAAAATCTGATTCTGAACCAGCACGTAATCAGTGCATCATCGGTGCTGAAACTCTTGTGTGATTCACGTCATTCCTAGCTCGCAGGTTGAATCAGGTTGCGGACATGCTTCGCTCCATCACGTGGAATGCTCTTGGAATGGACCATAATTTTTGCGCCGCGTTCCAGGCGAGAAGCCTTTTCGGCGTTGTGGGCTCCTGGGTCGTGTGATCTGTGTGGTGACCAGAAGGACAGATTTCATTATCTGGTAGATGATGTTACATGTAGATAATTTCCGTTACTGTTTCATGTTCATGCAAACTGCACAGGTCCTGAAGACACAAATATATTTACTATATTTACTATTTTAATGAAGAGTTTGATTCGAGAATTGTTAATCGAGTGTAAATACGATTCATCGGTTGCTTTTCGAATAAGAGTTGTATTTTAAAATGGATGGTTTAAATGGTTTGGGTGTTGCCAAATTTTAAAATAAAAACTGGTTGATATTTGCTTTGATTTCAATTGGGTTCTGATTTTTTCGAATTTTGTAATATTTCAATTAAACAGTTTAAAACTATAACAGTATTTAGAATGCTAGTGAATACAATTCAAATAATGAACAATTCTAACTTTACACATGTATTACATGTATATAAGGTTGGGAAAGCATAACAGATTAAAACTTTAAAGTTAAACTAGCAAAGACAAGACACTTGATATAGCAGCAAAGTTCTTATATTATATATTAGTTACAAAAATTGTCAAAGAAAAAAAAAAATCCCTGAAGGGATAATGCTCCCATATGAAAATAATGCATGAATTGGCACTGAGTGACCCTAATTTAAAAAGAAAGTGACAAGTTGTACCCAAGTATGCAAAATAATATCAAAGAAGTTGGCAGTTCAAACCTTGAAGATAAAATTCTCAACTATGTATGATGGAACCTATGTCTACCCCATCCCTTCCACACGAATAACCCCTGCTCTGTGTGTGTGTGTGTGTGTGTATATATATATATATATATACATGGACATTTGTAAACGCATGAATGCTCCATTACACTATATGTTCACCAAACACTCACACAACAAAATGTTACCTCTAGGTCCCTGATGAGTCGTCACCACTCTCCCATTCACCCAGTCCAAGTGATTCTGCATCTTCTTCTTCGTCTTCACACTCGCGAGAAGTCCTCGTTGAATTCAATGGTGCAGGAGTGGATGAGCACAGCCTGAGCATGCAACTCCGATCTGAGCAAATCTATGATCAACAAGCTATCTATCACTGTCTGTGTCTTCGCAGGGATCCAAATGACGAGTTTGTTTGCACCATTATTGTCAAGGGCTCACCTGGAAACGTTGTGAGTTCGTTGCTGAGGTGAAGAGATTAGATCAGTGTAGCCCTTGCTGCTAGCTTTTGGTGAGTTTGGATACATGAACCGGGTCCCAACTTGATTTTTATCATGCAGTTCAGCCTCATGGAAACCATCACCATGGTCACTTAACTCACTAATCTCTGAGCTTTGTTCGCCTCTTCCAGGGTTCTGTTCTTCTTCTCCTTCGTCTTCACTGAACTCGTAGTTGGATTCGTTGGGATGGACTTGATGGCTTCTGACTGAAGCGGAGTTGCTGTGGACAGGCTGCGCTCAATGTACAGGCACCATGTCATTATCAACTTATTAGAGTGCAAATGACGATGCCCACATCTGTAATCACTCTTGATGAGCTGTTTAGAAAATAAACGAACTAAACATTAAATAAGCGAGCTTGATGATTCACTACCAAGGAAAGAGAATTTCAAGAATGCAAATCACATTTGCACTGTCCTGTGATGCATTGTTATCATTGAAGTGATTATGCCCAGAATCTGAGGTGTTGCCAAATTGCCACTCAAATAATTTCAAACAAAGATTATGTACAACCCCTCTAGAAATCATAATAAATATGGGGGGCAAATATCATGAATCATTTCGAATACAAGACAAGGCTGATTGATTCCAGAGCAGTATATTATAGATGCAGACTATTACAGTACCAACCATGCATCGCACATAAGATTATTCACATTCAACCAAATTCGGTAGTGCTCAGGTACAAACTTCATGGTGAGCTTACTTGAGTCTGCCATAAAGTAGCACCTCTCTCAAACTCCATGAGGTTTCGCTCATTATCATGGACATGAGACATACGCTGTGATTGCTGCTTTCTCAGAGCAACAGAAATCGAATTGTATGTGGTATCACTGTAGGCATTTCAGACCGCATAATATTACACCTCCAACAAGGGTTATTGTATAAACCCCTTCAAAGTTCGATTCATTGCCACTTGCATTGACTGGAAAAACGAAACTGCAGAGTGCGCATGAACAAGTTCAACAGATGAATAAAACACAATCACTTGGAATTTTCGTACCTGATGCTATTCGTTTTTGATGTTATTCCAAACTTTCTCAATTCCTCACAAAGCTGGCCATCGAATTTCTGTGTGGGAATTGTTGCTGAATGTGTAAGCAGCAAGAGCTTTTTATGTAATGAGGATAAGCAAATGACAATTACAAAAGAAAATTGTGATGACTACGCAAGTACATGGCAAAACGATACAATACCTAGTCCTTCAGGGCTTTTGCGTTGTGAGAAGATAAGGCCAAATCGAGAAATTCAAATGATATCTTATGACTCATTGAAACAAGAACGGTGGATGGCAATTGCGAAAGCAGTGGATGAAGCGGTATCAAATGCAGAAACACACGTTAACTATCTCTCTGTGCGGTTTTCCAATAGCCACCTCTGGATTAGGGTATTTTGCAACCACATGTGACCTGAAAATTTGCAACACACATCGAACATAACACTTTTAAAAATCTAGCTTAAGCAGAAGATGCCGTGGGTTGCAAGTCGAACAAGAAACAACATGCACTATTATTCCTAGAAATTACCAACACGATTACAAAACCATGCTATCCTCTATAACAAAAGACTCGAAGTGGAAGGTTATGAATGAGAAATTCGAGCTAAACGACTCACAAGGCCGGGATAGGTACAAAGGCGCGTTCACTCAACCACATTTGCCTCTCAGGAATTTGTACGGTAGGCTTGTCTTCTGCAATGTCACTGGCAGCGACTTCAGCGATTTCTTGGATCCTATGAGCCTGAAAACATCAAACGGTCTGTGCATTTCTTAGAATCTCCAAGCAACTTGCTTACACCTGCAATGCTTAAGAGTAACGAATCCCTTACGTTTCCGTACTCATGTGATGGGGTGTGCTCATCTAACTCGTCCTCCTGCGCCAAACAAACACGATACATTTGAAACATAATTCTGAGTCTGTTCAAAAGAGCGAGAAACTTGATATGGTAAGATTACCGAAAAGCAACAAAATGCACAGCTCCTTCACCTAGACAGATTTAGCAAAACCGAGATATCAGTTGAGCACAATTATACGGATCATCACCCAAGCTACCACATCCGCACTGGTCATTAAAAGCAGAGAGTAACAATCCACCAAGTAAGACCTTGGTGAGAAAACGAATCATGTGAAAGAAAAACAACAATGAATTCAAATATTGAGTTGAAAGATGAAGGCCTGAAACCTCAGCTTCAACTGTTGCAGACCACATGGAACTAGGTTCATTTTCCTCTATGTACGATTCGACTTTCTTGACAGTAGGCTTTTCAATCGGAAAATACTTTCCAAGTTCCTGAGTAATGGTGGCCAAACGCTGAAGGGTGTGCTCTTTAGGAGAGAGTATGGGATTATTCAGAGGTTGGTTGTGAGGAACGTCCTTCAAGTCAGGGTTGCTATTGAGGACAGCCATATGTAAAGAAGTCGATGGTTGATGTTGTGGATTCTCCTGCCCAAGCCATAAGTATGGATGAAATGCAGGCGCGCAGCACAGGCCGGGCTTGTATGGCGGTTGGGTATGGAAGGACTGCGCCGGGGTGATTCGAAGAAGACCACAGGGCTTCGATTGAATGTCCTGATTCTGCTCAGTCTCCTTCCATTTGCTTACAATACTCCGCACTCGATGAATTGTGGATGACAACGACCTTGGGTGTTCCTTATTTTCGCTCAAATCGAGTAGCTCAGGAGCTATCTGAGACAGTTCGAAGAAAGAAATGTAAATCGTGATCATTGATCCAAAGTACCGCATCGTTCTAGGTTAGCTACTTCCACTGATAAGATATTCCTAAGTGTTCTGATATTCCTATGTATTCCTATGTGTGCACTCTTGCTTGGACTCAATAGAATTTACAACGACTTTCCATTGCGCAACGTTTGTCACGAGTTGTACAGGTTAGTTGCCGTCTGCATTCTCTTTCCTCATAATCTACAAACTCATGTGTAGGGTGCAGGCCATGTCCCCTTCAGATCCATACCATGAGCAAACCCAGCATCTAGATGGAAATACATGTATCGTCGACAGGAAATGAGTTCAAAACATGATCATGTATTGAAGGCAGCAACTAGTTGTTGTACTTTGACAAGAACTTACGTTTCCAGTCGGAGTCTCTGGTTTGTATGTGTGGGAATATTGAGATCCCAACTTGCAGCTTCTAGCGCCTTCGCTTCTTGTTCGCTTTTCTTGCTTCCTTTTGTTGAGTTTCTCATTCTCAAGCTCGTAAGCTGACAGTCGTTTCTGGTGTCTGCATAAATTTGAGTCAAATTGGCTAGATGTGTCATTGTTGTTTTTCACTTTGTTAACATCTCCGTGCACCGAAAAACAGTGATCCTGCCGAGTATTGAAATCGAATAAGTATCACAGTTTCAGATAATAGATCACACGCGCAGTCATTCAAATGTTTACCTCTTCTCGTCACATGCGGCGCCTGTGCCCTTTTGTGGCTTTTTGCACATTTTTCCAACTGTGGTTGAAATCTCACCACTTCTCGAATTACTCTGCAACATGGCCCGAGTATGAGACTATCATGTGTTATGTATTTAGGTCTTATAAAGGATGCATATCACAAGAACAAAACGTCACAATCTCGTGGTTTACAGATACAAAACCTTTTCAACTGTCGCTGGTTTCGACTTCTCCTTGCATGACTTCAATCTTTCTGGGCAAGTTTCATAATTTGCTTCCCAAGGCACAAGACGAGATGATTGTTTCGAAATTGGCGTAGAATGCCTGTAAGGTTTGGGATCGAAAAACAATTCCTGCTTGCTTGGCTCTTCATGTGAAGATACTGCCTTCGTCCCTCGTCTCCCAAACGTAGGGTGGGCCAAGGCAAGAAGTGCCCCATCCTTACGAGTATCTTTTGTACACCGCTCTCCTGGAGAGGGGGCTCGTTTTTTTTTATACATCGAGAATGTAATGGGTTCCTTCTCGACCTACACACAGAAACTCTCAATCGTCCTCAACGCCACCAATTCAAAAAATCGCAATTGACAATGAGCAGTAGCTAACAAGTGAGGGGTGAACGGTTGAAGGATCGATCTAAGCAATTAGCAGACTATAAAATCATGTTTTGTTCGTTAAAATGACTTATAGATATCAGGTTCCTCGAAGGGTTATGTTTCATGCTCCAAGTAGAAGCGGTTTTCATCAACAGAAGAGTTTGATTCAACTGGTGACTGGATTACACCAAAGTCAGTGCTATTGCCAAGTTTCTGAATATTTAATACATTAGAGAGTTCGTTAGCAGGTTTCTTTGCTTCACGTGTGGCAAGGATGCGCTCGGGAAACATGTAGACCATATCGTCCTTTGTCCTATCCTCTTGTATTTCAAGTAGTTCCAAAGCTAGTGGTCGAGGAGGTTTAGGCCGAGTTTGGGAATGGACCCCTGGGGAACAAATTGCGTATGAGTACACCGAAGGAGAAACCGATGATGGGGCATAAACTCCCGAATTTTCCTCATTATATTTGTTGCCCATGGCCATGTTTACATCGGACATGACTCCCTTTAGCTTCTGATTTTCCTTGCGCTGATCGTCTACCTGCAGAGTCGCTAATATCTCAGAAGCATGCCGCGCAAGTCTTAGATCAAAAGCTTATCGCGGTCTTGTCAGTCGTAAGAAATGACAGAACATTCTACTGTCAAATGCCGAGGTACTAGCATTGCTGAGGCCAAAATGCGAGGAAGATTGACCTGGTGTTGCGCACGAAGTCGTTGAATCTGTGCCCATTCAGCCAAGCTCATCTCTGCCTTCACCTGCATCAGAAGATGAACGACGTTAAACCAACGTAAACAACAGCAGCTTCAGATATTAAGCAATCTTGTGAGACAATCCGGAGTATGGAACTGAAGAACATGCCAAAACCTCTTCTAATAAATAACAATCAGAAGTTAAGTTTTACGAAATGAATAGAAGGTGGGTATAGTCCGTGCACTCGTGCTGAAGTGGCCACTTCAGCATTGGAAACCGCAGCTAGGATCTTCTCCATGGTCATCACCTGCGTTTTTTGGTGTTTTCTTGCAACGTGCAAAACCTTCATAAAGGGTTCTTTCATATCATGCATGCCTTTCGGAGTAATGACTAACAACGCGCTTGTAATTTATCAGTAGTACGAATCAAGTCAGATGAATGCGGCGATTATCTTTGACGCAGGTGTTATTCTTGACATACCTGTGGCTGGTTGATCTGAGAGGTCTGAATTTGGTTCTTGCCCTGAGTTTTCGACATAAGCTCGTGTTTTTTCAAGGTCTGAAAGCCCACACAGAACGATAGATGTTAGGCCCAGGAGTACAGAACCAAGAAGCTACCGAAGAGCACATCTATCCTACGGACAGTCGGTAAGAAAATAATGAAACGACGCAAAACATCAATCTGCAAAGCATTGTGATAAGGTGAATAACGATCACCTTCTTGGCTAGTTTTAGTTCATGGCGAGTTTGCAACAGGACATTTCTATGCCACAAGAAAAGATTTCGAACCCTCTCATTTTTTTGCTGCGCAATATAGTTTACCCGAAGGAGCTCAGTGTTTTGGTCTGCCAACAAGTCTTGGACATGAAGCAGATATTCCACCTGCATAGCTCAATTTCAAGCTGCTAATGAAGTTGAGAACCAGTGGTGCTATGTCATCTGAGAATTTCCGCACTGCCAACGACATGAATTGTGTACGCAAACGTGGAGAGAATCATGTAAAAGAAAAAATTGGAACTGCTTGTACCAGCAATTGTGCGAGGCGGAAAATCTTGACCAAGTTAGCATCCGTCAAATTGCGTCTGTCCTCTCCTTGAATGTTCCCAAATGCAATCGTGTGAAGCACTGTCTCCAATGTGTCTATGTCTGAGTTCCATCAAGACGCTAACCGATCTAAGATTCTTGAATCGCATACTCTCGGAATGTTGCATAACCTCAATTGCAGAGCATATCACAAATCGTTTCCATTTATCAACAAAACCCTGAATCGAGCAAGACAAGTAGAAGAGAATACCCACTAAAATTGCAGATCTTCAATGCAACATTAACGGCTAACTTCATTCACAGATTCCCCTTGCTCTTAATGTCACTTCAGATTCTCTGGAATGGACATCAAATCAACAGGTAGCATCATGTACCAGCTTCGCGAATTGTGCGATCGATGTCGATGTTTTGCAAACTGCTCCAGTCAATTCTCGCCAGGCGCTTCTGAAACACGAACGAGGTACCTTTCGCGCCACCTGGTGATAACTCCTTCGCCGTAGTTCTGACATGTTTCAAGTTCTTCTGCGACGTTTTCGACCCCTCCATTTCCTTACGGAGCTGCTCCTCGCCGCGCTCAAATGCGTGCAATGGGTGTCCTGTCGCCGAGGTAGTGACTCTGAGCCGGTCGTCGCCCTTGAATACCATTGCCTCATGCGCTGAGGTTCTGAAATTGTCGCTGCTTATCTACAGAACACATTTCTATGGTGTGGGGTGCGGAGACCGCCTCCTCGATTTCGCGATTAGTGTTTTCCGGCCCACATCATGAATTCGAGCTCCTAGTTCAATCCACGTCCCTTGAGACTACATGCAAGTTTATTCGCATAATCACTTCATGGCCAATTCTTACAGTTTACCGTGCACTTTCATGCGTTCCTCGTTGACTCCTCTCCATCGTCATCTGAAAGGCTGGAGGGTATCAAACCCTAAATCTCTCGTTCTAGAGATTCTTAGGAGCTCATCTCAGTTGATCAGGGCACCTTGGCTAACAGTGACATATGCTCCTGGAAAAGAGACAATCCTCAGTGATCGCTTTGACATCTCACATCACTCCGCCTTCCCTTCAATGCAGCTTTACTTCACGTTTCTACTCTCAACCAACAAATCTAGCAGCATTCTCATCGAATCAGTGGAAGCGAATGTCACCCAAAAAACCCAGAATTAGATAACACTAATTGAAGAAATTTAGTGATCAGAGACGTCATGATGTCGGGGCCAGAAAACCAATAATCATGTCAATTAGATCAAGCCAAAAGCATGCAGGACGAGGCGATCTTCAATCGAATCCAATTTACCGGAATGATGCAGCACAGCTCATGTAAGAGTTGTAACCCAATGGTGATCTTCCATTCCATAATCCGAGTTGAAGAGAAGTGCTCACTTTCCATGAATAATCAGGCGACTTCACTGATCGATAAGATGCGGTCAATGGAATTTCAGCACTTTCGCTTAGATGGAAAGAATCTAGTTCAAGAAGGGCTTCGGACGCATCCTCAGCGACGATTACATGCAATCAGTGGGATTGAGCTCCTGGTGGGAGTTGGAAGTGAAACTTTTCAGCTGTGAGGCAAGAGGTGTTGCACTAGAACATGCCCCTTCGCGTAAATGCCAGTCACACTCGCTGGCACTGCAACAAGACAGGGGAGTTGGTGCAGAGTAACTTGTTGCACATTCTCTCACACTCTTTCACTCCCATATACGCATTTGCACACACCGGACGGGACACTTTCCTGGTACAAACACTCAGATGGGTGATGGCCCACATGTCAGGGCTCATCGACATCCCTCAATCCTCCACTTCCCGAGACTTTCCACGTCAGTTTTCACCAGCAACGCAATCCACAAACCCATGTCGCTCTCTTCTCCAACGTTGTAAATTCACCCACATGGGTTTTATCAAATGGCACGCTCCGCAAGCAGCTTTGCAATCGCAGTTCGACATCAACGTCGACCTCCTGTTTGGTCATCCAGTCGAAGCGCAGTTACCGCCATCGCTTGTGCAAAAGACCCGGTTACAACTTACACTTCACAACAACACATTGCCAATTGTGCATTGTTGCTCAGCTTTGTTCACGGATCCATGCGGAAGTCGCAATGAGCACAATCGAATGTTTGCGCATGGACCCACGTAGTGTGTTTTCGCACAGTTTCTCGCCGAATTTGTTGCTCTGCAATGCAGTCCAGAGGGAGCTCCAGCCTCTGTTGCATGGAGTTTGATGAAGACTGGCTTTCATGCAAACGGAAACCCTAATCTGGACTGTGGACTCCATTGTTGCTCTAAAACATCGCCGAAACAGCCCGATTTTGCAAGCTGGAATCGGCAGATTGAATTGGGACTCAAACCCTAATCTTGACTGTGCCATGGTTTTGTTTCAACAGGCTGGAATAGTTCACAGGTCTGTTGAAAGTGTTTCACAATTTTGCAAAAACTTAAGTCATCTGTGTATGTAGCATTTAACAATTTGTGAGAAATCAAGTGAAGTTGAAAACATTAGTTAAAGTAGATGCAAATCGAACTCTACTTTAATATATAAAATTAAATCTTTTTAAAGACAATTTAGGTAGATTTATTGACTAACAACCTGTATCTATGTTATTTTAATTTATTATTATTATTATTATTATTATTATTATCATCATTATTTTAATATTTCTATTTAAACATATATCACTTTTCAACCATGAATAAAATTTTAATTTGTTGTTTGAATTCAATAATAATAATAATAAATAATTTGTCATTTTTTTTGGGTCAATGAAGATTTGTACCTCACTTTGGCTTAAATTCGATTTCCATGGATATTAAGGAACTGAGAAATTATTTGGAATAGTGTTTTCATTAAAGAAATTACAACATTGATTCAACCAGATTATAAGTCGACAAAAAAAAATCCAAATATGACATTTTGTTAGTCTGGATGTAGATCTAAAGAGGAGTTTTAGAAGAAATTTCTAAAGTATTTTAATGACTTTATAATATATTTTTTATAAAATTAAAAGAAAAAAAAAAATATATATATATATAGGAATGATAAAGTGATCCAAATTTTTTTACTAAAGCAATTGACTCTGTCTTAACCATCATTGCACCCCTTCATCCCTTAGCCCTATTTTCCATGTTCTCCTCATTTTCAAACCTTGTCTCAACCCCCTCCCTATTTCCAATCCACACATAGTAAATAATTGTTCTTCTTGTAGTCCCCTAAACTCCAAGTTCTGATATTTGATTCAAATCTCCCTATGAATGCAAAACATATTACCATATTCCACACCTCAACAAAATTGCTCTATGTAGCTACCACTTCAATAGCTCTTTCTTTAACTTCTTTCACATTTTGCAAACCTTGTACCCACTTTCTAGAACTCACCTTTGGTTGCAACATACAACTCTTTTATTTACTCTTTTGACTACCATCGCTGCTTTAAGACACTTTGTTTCTAAACAAAGATCATCAATAAGCTTGCTCAATTCCTATTCAAATTTTGTGACCAATCTAAGAGCAATATTTAGAGAGAGCAACTCTTCATTAGCATCAACAACAATCTTTGAAGTCATCTCTTCATTCTCACTTTTCACAACTAATTGTGATTTCAGCCTTCTCTACATATGTTTCAGCCAAGTGACATTGCATATGCCTCAATATTACATGCTTATATGAACGGTGAAGAATTAAAAAAACTAAAAGAGATGGTTGACACTTTGCATACCATACATGTGTCATTCACTAATAAGACTAGAAGAAGATAAGATTTACATCAATCCAATGAAACAAAACATAATAGATAATTCTATTACATGTGCATGACTACTTCGTAAATAATTAGGGGGTGAAGAAGGCGTTCTTTGTGAATGCTCTCTCTTGTTTTTAATGCCTTTTCAATGTATTTACGATATCCTCCAGTGTCATACTAGAAAAACAAACAATTATGTTTAGATTTGATTGCACTCCTTAAAATCTTCTAGTTGAGGTAAAGGTTCAACACTATGTTCCATTTTATTAGTTAAATGAGAGCGAATGCGGGTTTATTCTCTAAAAATAGCTTTACATTATTTTGGTATTTTTTTAATATCCAGTGCTGAAAAGGAAGACTGCTCATAAATCGCCCTTTGTATCCAAGTTGAAGGCTTCAATTCAACCAAAGAAGATGCTTCTGCATAGTGGAGACCAACCATTCTTTGACTCCATATAATAGGAGTGCACTATTAAAATTCTCTATGGACCTTCTTCTTTTTTTCTTTCTCCCCCCCCCCCCCTAAAAAAACTGCCCTTTAAGTATGAAAATTTTAATATTAGAGTCACTATCTTCAATAAATTGAAAAGGCCTTTGTTTCAAAGGCTGGTTCAATGAACAATTCAACTGTAGGTATCAACTTCAAGGAATTTGAATTCTTATTCTTTAATTTTTTTTAAATGTATTGAATGTTGAACTGGAAAAATTAGTTGGAATTGACCACAATATTGAATTGAGTGGCTTTATGCCAAAATAACTTGGGGAGATATATGGATATGTACAAGAATCCCCAAATTACTAATGAAACAACACAAATAGTGCATGTGGCAAATGTCAACCTTCAATAATTCCCCAGTTGCAACTATGCAATTGTTTTTGTACTTATTCAAATTATTGCTTAAGGGACATTATTTTGATGGATATAGGTGCATGGCAAACTTCCCCATCATGGAGTGATATGGGAACAAAGAATTTAAGCAATCTCTGAGGAAGAAATCACAACATAAAGAGATTTCTTCAACATATTTCTAGTTTATTTTGAATATTCAACAAAGAAAATGCCAGCACTCAGTGCAAATCAAGTGGACATGAATGGCCTTGCACTTGCGACTACATTTTCATTTAAAAACTTCCTACATTTAAATTTCAGTGTGAAGTGCACAGTTTGATACATTTACTAATAACCAAATCCCTTGAGCACCATTTCCTGCATTGTGCACATATCTTTCCAATAATTGAAGATAATGCAATCTCAATGCAGGATCATAACTTAATTGCAAGCAAGGCAAGTTGGAAAAAAATATTTTAAAAGAATGCATTTAATTACTTATAATTCTAGCAAGATTTCTAAAGCACTACAGGGGGGGGGGAGGGACTTGGGCACTGGAAGAGGACTTGCCAAGATCTAAAAAGGAATATTCTCCATTGGAGATTATATATATTTATTTATTTGCTTTCTCATGGTCTTCACATTAATGAAATACTGGGGAAGTGGGTCTGGACGTTGGGTGCTGCAAAGACTACCCAGGGTAGATCAGCACATCCTTGGACTCAACAACAACTACAAACATATATAAATGTATGTATATATATATATATATATATATATATTCTAGTCTTGGAATGGGCCCGGGTTTAACAATTGGTGGTTTTTTGCACTAGAATCATGACTTGTTGTTGGAATTGTCAAATATTCCTATGGGTCGTCCATCCATCCATCAATCCACCCAAGTTTCAGAGGAAAGACCATCTGTGGTGACTTGACATAGGTCATGATTCATGAATCAAAGGAGAGAAAAGGGGGCTAGGGTTAGGGTTGTATGTGGGCTGAAGTCACAGTCTTCCAACATTGGCAACAGTGTATGACAATTCTCTCAAGTAGACAGACTCCAATGCCTGCAGCTTCTGTAGTGGAGCCTCATTTTTGAGTACAGAGACCTCATGTTGCAATGCCATTCGGAACTACTGAGATTTGGACTACTTTAGAGAGGTCTGGAGGTCAAAATGTAACACACAACTTCTCCAGCAAAACATCCATCCTCATTTGTGCGAGCTCATCAAGTTTTCCCTAAATTGTTTTGCTATTTGAAAGTTTGATTGTTGGGTCCATATCCTCCTGCATCCATAGCATTCACCACCATGGCATAGACTGACTTTGATCCCATCTTGACTTGTGCTTTGCTCCACTTTGTCGTTGTTCTTGTGTGTAGTTTTGTTGTGTTGTGTTGTGAGGTTTGCTGTTTGTGGTGCAGTTGTACTGAAATGTTGCAAATTTGCTAACTTCACTGTGTTGAGGTTGTCTTTAGAAACTGTATAAACAATGTATGGTAAATTGTTTAAGAATAATCTATAATTTACAAACTTGCCATTCCTAGGTTGCAATTGTTTCAAGTATTTTATTTAAAGGAGAATATAAAGGTTTTAACATTATTTTAAAGGAAAAGATTATTTTTTAAAATTTTAGGATGGAATATTATTGATTGCTTAAAAGACTTACAAGTTTTTAGTTTTGGAACATAAATTAATATTTATAAAAATAAAATTATACCTTCTTTTCAAATATAAAATTTACTTCACATTAAGTTTTAATCGAGGGAATAATTTTTAGTTTTTACTTAAAAAATAATAATACTATGGACTAAATTATTTTGAAAATGATAAAATAATTTTAAATTCAGTTAAATATAAAAGTATACATATGCATTTAAAAAATATCCAAGTATAAATATTGGTGAATTAGTGATTTTTAATTTTTTATTTTTTATTATGTAATATGAAATCGAATAAGATTTTTGATACAAAAAATAAGAGTAAAAATATTTTTAAGAGAAAAAAAATGCTCCATATTTTAAAGACATAGATCAAGATAGACTTTAGAAAAGATAACATATTTATGTATTATAAAGAAAGAAAGAAAGAAAAAAAGAAAGAAAGAAAAATACCAACTACTTGGAGTTTGATAGAAGAATCATATATTTTATTATATATATTAGAAACAAATGAATATGATATTGCTTGTTAATTCATTGACATAATATAAACCCATGTATTCCATTGATGCAAATAAGTAAAACAAAGGATTACAAAGGATGGATAATAATTCCTTGCAAGCAATGAATTATAGAAATTAGCTCATCTACCTTATAATTATACAAGTATATGATTGCAAGTGAATATTTTTGTACTAAAAGAAATATATTGGACTAAGTTTTAAGATAATAACTAAGACTAGTTGCCAAAGCATTTTCACAAGTGGCAAGTATGGATTTAAAGAAAAGATTTATATTCATTGTTTAATTCACTATCATTAGAACTATAGTTGCAACAATATTAGTAATATATTTAAAATTGCATCAAATAAATGAAAAGGAAATCTTTTTGAATAGAGAGTTAGAAAAAGACATTTATTTGGACCAACTAAATAGGTTTGTGTAAGAGTGCAATGATTTTCTTTTATGCAAGTTAAGAAAGATATTGTATAGATTCAAGTACTTGTCATAAACATAATACTAATGCATTTACACCTTCTTCGATCCATCGATCAAGGCATTATTCCGATGGACCAGCAGTCATCGTCTTGCATGTTGCCCAATATCTGACCAGTCATCGGCGGTAAATATCTTCACATCTCGCTTTGTTGCGATCGGCCGGTGCGGTCATTGCTGTT